AGCAATGAAGGAATGAAAATCCAAAATCCCTGTAAATGTTCATTAAGACTAATAAAATTTAATAAAAAAGAAAAAAAAGATGCACTAATAATAACTGGTGACTGGGATGCAAAAGTAGGAAATAGTGAAGAAGGAACAGTAGTTGGAAAATATGGGCTTGGTGTTAGAAATGAGGCTGAAATAGAATGACAGAATTTTGTACTTACAATGATTTATTCATTGCAAATACCTTTTTTAAAAGACACAAATGATGACTTTACACATGGATCTCACCTGATGGGTTGCATAGGAACCAGAATGACTACATTTGTGGAAGAAATCATTGGAGAAGCTCAATATCAGCAGTTAAAACAAGGCCAAGGGTAGACAGTGGGTCAGATGATCAATTACCCATTTGCAAGCTCAAATTGAGGCTAAAGAAAATGAGTACACAGGAACCAAGATATGATCTTGAATCAATTCCATCTGAATTTCATGATCATCTTAAGAAAAGGTTTGAGGTATTGAACACCAATAATCAAAGACCACATGAGTTGTGGGATGACATCAAGGATATTATCCATGAAAAAAAGCAAAAGTTTATTACAAAAAGAGAAGAGAAAGATAAAATCAAAACAGATGTCAGAAAAGACTCTAAAGATTGCATTGAAGCATGAAGAAGCCAAAACAAAAGGAAAACATATCAAAATGAAAGAGCTAAACAGAAGATTTCAAAGGGAGGACAAAGTCAGGTATTATAACGGAATGTGCAGAGAGCTGGAGTTGGAGAATAATAAGGGAAGAACTTGCTCTGCATTTCTCAAGCTGAAAGAACTGAAAAAAAAATAACGCCTTGTGTCACAATATTGAAAGATACTACAGGCAATATCTTGAATGACACAGAAAGCATCAAAAGAAGAGGGAGGGAATATAGAAAGTCACTGTACCAGAAAGAATTGATTGACACTGAAACATTACAGGAAGCAACATGAACAGGAGCCACTGGTATTGAAGGAGGAAGTAGAAGTTGCATTGAAGGCATTGGCAAAAAATAAGGCATCAGGATTCGATGGGATACAAATTGACTTGTTTCAATTAACAGATGCAGCCTTGGATGCCAGGAAATTTTGAGGACAGCTGTCTGGCCAACGGAATGGAAGAGGTCTGTGTTTCTTCCCATTCCCAAGAAAGGTGATCCGACTGAGTGTGAAAATTATGGAACAATGTCATTGATATCACATGCAAACAAAGATATCACATGCGGCTGAAGATCATTTAAAAAACCTGGAACAGTACGTAGATAGGGAACTGTCAGAAGTTCAGGCGTAATTCAGAAAAGGCTGTGGCACCAGGGATATCATTGCTGATGTCAGATGGAGCCTGGTTGAAAATGAGGAATACCAGAAGAATGTCTATTTGTGCTCTATTGACTATGAAAAGGCATCTGACTGTGTGGATCATGACAAGTAGTGGTTGACAATGAGAAGAATGGGAATCCCAGAGCACTTTATTGTGCTCAGGAGGACCCTATACCTGGACCAGGAGGTTGTTGTGAGAACTCAGCAGGGGAGCACTGCATGGCTTGGAACTGGGAAGGGAGTTGGCATTAGGGTTGTATTCTCGTTTTCCATATTTATTCAGTCTGTATTCTGAGCAAAGTATCCAAGAAGCTGGAGTTTATGAGGAGGAGTACGGCATCAGTATGGGAGGGTGACTCATCAATAACCTGAATTAGGTAGAATGACACAACCTTGCTGGCTGAAAGTGAGGAGGATTTGAAGCACTTGTTGCAGAAGATCAAGGAATGCAGCCTTTGGTATGGATTACATCTCAATGTCAGTAAAACAAAGATTCCTACCATTGGACCAATAGGCAGCATCATGATGGATGAACAGGAGATTGAAACCGCCAACAGTTTCATCTTGTCTGAATTCACAACTAACACCCTTGGTACTAGCAGTCAGGAAATAAGGAGACACATTGCACTGGGAAAATCTGCAGTTAGGGACCTTTCCAAATTATTGAGGAACAGTGATGTCAGTTGGAGGACTAAGGTGCATCTGATTCAGGCCATGGTCTTTCCGATTACTAGCTATGCATCCAAGACCTGGGCAATGAATAAAGATGACAGAAAAAGAATTGACACCTCAAGCTATTCCAAACTTCTTTCATCATGGTCTTGCACACTTAAATGAGTGTACAGTAAACATAACTTCTGTTTACACCACTGCTGCTGTTGTTGTTATGTGCCACTGAGTTGGAGGCCTCTCGTAGGTGACCCTCAAGGAATTTTTCAGAGACTTTAAATCCCATGAGAGGAAACTGCCCATCTTTCTACCAAGAAGCAAATAGTTGGTCCAAACCCTTCAGAAGTCCAAATATTTGTGTATCTCGTTTTATTGCAATCTTTGTTTATTGCAGTGGTCTAGAATAAAACTTCCTTTTATCCTCGAAGTATGTTGGTGTTGTTGTTATGTGCTGTCAAGACTCATAGCGACCCTACGAATAACAGCCCTAAACTCTGCTCCGTCTTGTGCCAATCACACTGTCTCTGACACACCCATCCCGACTACCCCAGTCACCGAATCAATCCACCTCATAAAGGGCCTTCCCCTCCTGTGCTGTCCCTCCACCCTCCCCAGCATGATGTTTTTCTCCAAGGACCAGTCTCTTCTTACAACATGTCCAAAGTATGTTAGACGGAGTCTCAGAATCCTTGCCTCCAAAGAGCCACCCAGTTTAACCCTTTCCAGGATGAATCTGTGTGTTTTCCTAGCAGTCCATGGTACTCTCAATACTCTTCTCCAGCACCACAGCTCAAAGGCATCAATTCTCCCTTCTGTCCTCCCTAGTCATTGTCCAACTCTCTGATGCATAACGAGTGATTGCAAAAACCATGGCCTGTCTCAAACGCACCTTAGTCTCCAGAGAGACACCATTGCTCTTCAGTACTTTGGAGAGGTCCCTAACGTTAAGCAGACTTTCCCATGGCAATGAGCCTTTTAATTTCCTGGCTACTGGTGCCAAGAGTGTTGACTGTGGAGCCAAGCAAAGTATATGTGCCTATATATCAATTTATACAACCATCAATAAATTGAATGTAAAAAAATGACTTTGTAAAACAATGATGTATGTTGTTGTTTTAATTTGCATTTGAGATTGAAATTTTAGAACTGCTTAAGAAGTAGAAAGGCCCCAGTAATATTCAAATGTCACAGTTAAACTGTGTGACATTGAAGATAATTAGCGTTTCATACCACTTCCGACTCCCTCGTGGTCCAGGGTCACATGCTGATTGCTGCTAAACTCAACCTCTTCGATGGGAGCCCTTCCAGTGACAACTGTCGTTTCCGGGACAGGCAGAAACACTTCTGCTAGCAAGGTGGGGCCTCCGTGTCCAACTGTTTCATATACCTGAAACCAGGGTGAAAAACAGCAAAATCAACATGACAGCAGAGTGAGTTCACGTCCAGGTCGTTAGTCCAATATTGTTAAAGTCACCTGTGGTCGCATGGCAGAACAGAGGGCCCATCGTGGCCTGGAATGCTGAGTTGGAAACTACTATACCCAAGGATACCACATTTCCAAGGTCTGTGACCAAATTGCAGGTATCCTGTTCTCTGACCACTCTCATTTCCTGAGACAGGGAGATTATTCAAAATAGCAGGCCACTCAGCATTTTCCCTGAGCTAATGCCCAGGAGGCAGAAAGGGCTAAGACAGTAGGATTCAAGGAAATGAGAGTTACAGGGAAAAAAATGGAAGGAATGTGACTTGGCCACATTGTGAGCTTTGTCATCAATACTGTCAAACAACATGCACATTTGAAAGGTTGAATGGAAAACAGATTGTGTTTGTAAATTTTCACTTAAATAGCAAAGTTTTAAAAACCAGCAGACTACTCGAGTTGTTTGTTGTCCAAGCCAAAGCACAGGTTAGCTGGAGAAGCTAACCTTTCCCTGATTCAAGTTGCTATCTGACAACAGTGTCACTAGGTAAATTAGGGGAGACAGTAAAATCAGCATCACCCCAGTTGCAGTCTAGACTTACAGATTCAAATACACTCTTTAGTTAATCTCTCCAATTCTTCCCCTTAAAATATCTTTTATCCCCCTCTTTTTTCAGGTTGCTAACCTCCCACCCAGTGAGTTCTCAGACCTTGTCTAGAGCAGATTAGCCAGTTCCAGTGTGCATACCTGTGGCGTGTCTCCTTCCTATGCCATCATCAGAAGGAAGCCCAAGGCCAGGGCAGCTACAGATCCTGAATGTAAATCCCAGCTCCTATTGGAGCCCTACTGGACTTAGTTAAGGTCCCCCAGCGTCCTTGGTTCTCCTCATTTCATGGTAAGAAGGGGGCCAAGTATTCCAGATTTCTGCTGGCTTCTTCCCTAGTTTTCATTCTTTCTGTCTCTCCAAGAAGTTTTTCTTACTGGTACATATTTCTCTGAAAAAAAACTAGTTTTACTTTTATAACTTGTATTAATTAATAGATCTTCTTCTTCTTCAAAAGACCTTGTGTAATAAAAAGTAAGGATGCCTCTTTGAATATTGAGGTGCAATTGACCCAAGCCATGGTATTTTCTTTTTAAAGGGGAGCTCTGGTGGCCTAGTGGCAAGAAGCTGCACTGCAATCCCAGAGGCGCATGGTTCGAATCCACCAGATGCTCTGCCGGGAAAGGAGGGACAATCTCCTCCTGTACCAGTCAGATCTGATTTGACAGTACACAGACACACAAAATAATAATAAAATTTTAAAAAAGGAAAAAATTGTGATTTTACCAAAAGTTTACAGAAGAGTTAGATTTTCATTCAGTCATTGTTGCGCATTTTCCTCCTTCCCCCTCTAGTTCATTTTCTTAAAAAAATCATTCATTATTGCATAACTTCCTCCCTTCTTGCCCATCCCTCCCCCAGTCCACTGTGGTATGCACCTCTTATTCTGGACTGTTGGCATACAAATAACGCCTCATCATATATTCCTTTTAAACAGTTCTTTCCTTCATCTGTTCCAATGCAGTGTTCATTACATATCCTCTCTTTTTTGGTTTCCCTCCATTCCCCTGGCCATTCTGTTTTACAACATTTGTGTTATGCAATATTTATCCTTTTGTGGCTTAGACAGCTCATTCAGCATAATGTCCTCCAGGGTCACCCCTGTTGTGTAATATATTATGAAGTCCTTGTTTTTCAGTGTTGTGTAGTATTCCATTATATAAATATACCATAGTTTTTCTATTCATTCATTTGTTGATGGACGCTTGAGTTGCTTCCATCTCTTTGCTATTGTGAATAATGCAACAATAAACACGGGTGTGCATACATCTGTTTGGGTGGCAGCTCTGTTTTCTTTAGTGTGTTTTCCTAGTAGGGGAATTGCTGGGTCAAGCCATGGAATTTCCAAGTAATTCATATGCTTGTGAAGGTTAGACGATGAATAAAAAAGACCAAAGAATGTATGTATTTTAATAGGGGAATTGGCAAAGAATATTAAATATGTCTTGAACTGCAAAAGAACAAAAAAAGATTTGGAAGAAGTTTTGGATGAGGTGCAGCCAGCATGCTCCTTTGAAGCAAGGATGGTGAGATTTGGTCTCCCCTACTTTGTGCATGTTACCAGGAGAGGTCAGTCTCTGGAGGAAAACATTATGCTTTGTAGAGACAAAAGACCCTCAAGGAGGTGTAGTGACACAGTGACTGGTAGCAATGGTCTTACACACAGTGGAAATGGTGAGGGTTCCTCATGGTTGTACACAGGGTTGCTATAAGTCAGAGCAGACTGAATAAGACCTTCACCACCACCACCACCACCACCACCACCACATCTTTCTTCTCAAGCAATGTGTTGTTGTTTTGCATCAAGTTACAAGGACCAATTCATAGACGACTCTCTGGTGGATTTTCAGAGACTGTAAATAGCACTGGAGAAGACTGCCCATTTTTCTCCCACAGATTCAAACTGCCTGCTGTTGGGCTGACAGCACAGCGCCCTACCTTTAGGCTACCAGTGATCACTATTATTTTACGTAAGACACTGAATGTAGAGACAGGACACTATGGATCCTCTTCCCTCAGCCTTCCTTACACGCTTGTGATCTGAATTCTCGGCCCAGGGATAAGAATGAGTCATTGTTCAGTTGGCCTCCATTCCCAGTTCTCTACCAGGTCATGTTTACAAGACGGTTAGCTGTGGGGCGAACTGGGCAAAGACGAAGGCAAACATTTAATAGAAATTGAATTCAGGACTGCCAACTTACTATTATTGCAAGATATTATTTTTTTAAATTTTAAATTTATGATTAAGTTGATGCTTTTGAGCTGTGGTGCTGGAGAAGAGTATTCAATGTACCATGGACTGCCAGGAAAACAAACAGATTCATCTTGGAGAGGATTAAACCAAGCTACTCCTTGGAGGCAAGGATTCTGGGGCTTCGTCTGACATACTTTGGACATGTTGCCAGGAGGGACAGGTCCTTGGAGAGGGACATCATGCTTGGGAGGGTGGAGGGACAGCGCAGGAGGGGAAGACCCTCTATGAGATGGATTGATTCAGTGACTGGGGTAATCGGGATGGGTGTGTCAGAGGCAGTGCGATTGGCGCAGGATAGAGCAGGGTTTAGGGCTGTTGTGCATAGGGTCGCTATGAGTCGGAAATGACTCGACGGCACATAACAACAACAACATGTGCAAAATCTTGAATGATGTAAGAAGATGAAAGGAATACACAGAGTCACAGTGCTTAAAGGATTTGATTGACAATGAGCCATTTCAGGAAATGTCATATGATCAAGGGCCAGTGATAATGAAGGAAGACGTTCAAGCTACACTGACAGCTTGGAAAAAAAATAAGGCCCCAGGATCTGACGGAATATCAATTGCCATATAATAACAAACAGATGTGCCCCTTGATGTGCCCATCTCTCAGGACCACCAACAGTCGCCTTCACCACAGTGCTGCCTCTGTGCACTTCCTTCCATGTTTCGGAGAGAACTGTCCTCCGCTGGGTGTGCATGTGTGTGGCCTCTAGGAGGCTGATCATCACACCTGTCCTCTGAGATGCCTCTGCCAACCTTTCGGTTAGTTGTTGCTGTGTAGTTAGGTGTTGTGAGTCAAGGATGACTCATAGTGACCCTGTGAATGACAGACCTGAACCCTGTCCTACCCTGTGCTGTCCTCATCATCTCTGACGCATCTGAGCCCATTGCTGCAGTCACTATGCCAATCCATCTCGTTAAGGGTCTTCCTCTCTTCCGCCGACCCTCCATCTTTCTGAGCATGATGTCCCTCTCTGAGGAACAGCCTCTCCTAGCAACAGATCCAAAGTATGAGAGAAGAAGGATCGATACCTTTGCCTCTAAGGAACTAGTGCTAGTTGCATTTCCCCCAAGACATATCTGCCTGTTCCTTGGGCAGTCAAAGGTTGTTCAGTGTTCTTCTCCAACACTTCAGCTCAAAGGCATTGATTCTTCTTCTGCCATCCTTATTCACTGCTTCACCATTTACACCACCCGGCGACTCCTCAGGCCGGAGTGTTACTCTAACTCTTTCTTTCCATTTCCACAGCCAGGCTCCACTCTTTGCCCTCAGTGCTGTCATTTTTGCACCAGTTTCCAGACTCATCTATTTTCTGCTAATACCAGTGCACCGGCATTCTTATTTCAAGCCTGAATGGGCAGAATTGAACTCACAATAAAAGCATGTAAGAAACCAATCTCAAAGCCAATACGACTCCTTTTCAGAGTTTTCCACACCTGTACCCAGCCTGAGGTTACTTCTTTGTCATTTTCCTTAAGGTAACTCTGGGAGGCTGAGCCCTGTGGACCAGTGTTATCCATGGCTCCTAACTCCCCACCATATCCCGGCATCTGTATTAGACACTTAAACCACAGTCCACTGCCATAGCGTCAGCTCTGACACATAGTGATCCTTCATTGGACTCGAGGCGGTAAATCTTAACAGGAGACAGCTCAGCTCCTGAGGAGGGGCGAGTGAACTAGAACTGCCGACCTTTGGGATAACAGGGCAGCATGCTGTGCACTCTTCCACCGGACCTCCTTATCAGATCCTCATGGGTTCTTAGAAACCAAGCAGAATACATCCACAACTTGCTTATTGAGTCACCAGTTGAACTTCATCTCAAGGAATTAGGTTCTAACATAGAGAATCCGATAGAACTGCCATAAATGGATTTAGTTAAGGAGATTTTTCTTATTCTCCTAAAAACCTGCCAGAACCTTTTTGGCTTTTCCTAATTCCAAATTAGCAATTATATGGGGAAGCTTCCAAACGGCATGGCAGTGTTCCTAGAGAATTGAAAAACAATATCCTCTAAATCAATTTCATCTGGAACTTCCTCTCAATCTTAAACAAAAATGATGCCATTAAGCCATTGTGATATGCAATATGATCAGCTATTA